TCGGTGGGGGCCCGCCGGGCGAGGGGCCGGCCGGTCCTGCGGAGCTGCCGTTGTGCATGACTCAGTAGTTTTTGGAGAAGGCCCCGTTGGGCTTTTCCTGAGCGAGGCCCGAGCTTGGCCTAGGGTGCGAGGCCCGTGGGACCCCAACTTGCTCGGAAACCCGCTGGAACGTGGGGGAGGGGGCATCTCTGTCCTTGGGCTGTAGTTTTCCCAGCGTCGCTGGCACGTCTCGCCCAGGATCCCTTTTCATGAAGGAAATGGAGCACCTTTCCCTTTGTCTCGTGCATTTAGGCTGGTGACCGTGAAATTCTCTGCTCCCTTCTCCGTGGAGTTGTGTTTTTGGGAAAGGCCCGGGTTATCTTTTTACTGATGGAATGCCTCCTAAGAATCTGGTCTAAGGACATAGAAGTGCAAAGTAGTATAGGTCACGGAGCCCCTGTTCTTAAACCAGGCATTCGGGTAATCTACAAAAAAAAATAAATCTGAAACTTCATTTTTAAAAAGTAGGATTTTAGAACTTCACTAGGGAAAGCACTGCAATCTTACCTTGAAAGTTTTTTCTTTAAATGGCCCTGGAAAGGGATTTGTTTCTAGTTTTCCCTTATTTTCTGTGTCGAGGCCCGGTATTAGCTTGGAAAGGAGCCTTTTAAAATCACACTAATGTACTGCATTTGGTAAAAAGGAAGCTGAGATAGGCAGAGTGAGGACTTGCCCAAGGTCACTGGCTTAGTTAGAAGTTGATGTGAGGCTAGCTAGAACTTAGGTATCAACTTCAGGTGAGTGGGCATTCTTAACATCTTGTACCGTGTCTAAATTCCATAGATTTCTTACAGCTTTTTGGTTGTTTTTTTTAAATTACATTTGAGGCTGGAGAGTTTCAGTTGCATGCCAGGTTTTGGAGTTTTGTTGGTTTGTTTTTTGAAGCTATGGATTAGAAGCCAAAACAAGAAAAATAAATTGCACTTATACGTGATAGAGCTGACGCATAGTGCTCAAGTTTCTGTCAACTTTAAAGGTACTAAGTAGTAGTGGTACTGTATTTTTCTAAAACATTGCCAAGTAGGAGGAAACCAATAGTACCTTATGGCAAGCTCCCCCTATGCCCCCCCCCCAAAAAATACCACTAAACATAAGTATTCTTTCTGCCTTGATGCTCTCTCCACTGTGCTTGGTTTTTATAAACAACCCTGACCATTTTGGCTTCAGAATGATTAATGATGCCTGCTGCATCTTCTCGATTGAGTTTGAGATTGTTGGCTAACCCTCCCTATATTAGAGAAAAACTATAGCAGCCTAAATGGGATCTTTTTGTTTTGTTTTCTTATTATATTAGATGTATGAAGGCTGCATCCTTAGGTTTTGGGGTTGTGTAGGAGTTGGCAGGCTCTGGGATATAAATAGAAGCTGATTTCAGAGGCCCCTGTTGACTAGGCTTTATGTGAGATCCTCCATCCAGCTCAGCCTGTCACATTGCAGCCTTGTGACAGGCTGAAGCGCCGCCCATGTGATCTAAGCTCCTGAGAAATATTAAGGCAAGCTGTGCACATGTGATGGCATTTAAAAGCTGGCTTTCTAGGGGGAAATAGTCTACAAGATGAGAAGCCATCTAGAAGACATACCCTGTTGTCTCAGAGTTGAAGACTATAGTGAATTGAAGATAGATGTGTTTTGTGCTTTCTGAAGAAGGAAAGTGGAATACTTTCCATGTCCAAGTGGATGAAATCACGGATGAGATCCCCCCCCCTCCATTTTATTTACATAAAAAAGATTTTAAGAATCAGATTGACAAATGTTAATGTTTGTTGGCTCAAATTTAGGCCAATTTGCTTTTAAAGCCACTATCAGATGACACTGCAAGTTTGTATAGAAAGTGAGCTAGCATAATTCTTAAACTGGGTTCAAGGAATGGCCCAACTTGTTTTTTTAGGATAAAGCTTCATACATTTTGGGTAGAGGGCATGCAAATAAATACATAATTTATTAGTGGAAGCATTTTTTGCACATATGCTCAAATAAAAAACACACACAACTGAAAGTGTTTATTAAACTTCATAAGGGATTTTGAAATGTTTACACTACTCTGCTCCAAAATGAGTCAGCTAAATTCCACTTACTATTTAAAGAGGCAGTGTCACCTAAATTAATACTGTTGTCTGAAGTAAATTGAGGATCTTGGTCACTCTCCGTACACGTTTGATTGGCTTGAAATATTTTTAAGGTTGAAAATGGTGTCTTTTTGCTAACAAAAGTAAAGGTTACTATTATTTAACTGGGAGTATAATTGTCAGGTTTCAGCCAGGCCAGAGAATTTTATTCCTCTTCCACCTTTTTTAAAAATAATTTTGTTAAAAATTGCTAATAATTAAGACATTGTAATATTTCCCTAAAGAGTGTATTCTAGAAGTGGTAGTTGGAAAAAGCCATATAAAATTCCAGAAGATGGCAAGCTGTAACTTGAAGTACTTTCCTGCACTTATTTGAAGTGTTTGTAACTTAATAAATCATAAGTAATCTTATTATCAATAGTAAGGTACATTTAAATGAGTGATAAGTTAGAGCAAATGATCTGTGGTGGGGGTTTTATTTTTAAATGTTAAGTATGCTTTGTACATTCATACATATTAATAGTGTGTGTTTTTCTTTTAACTCAGGAAAATTCACTAAATATGGCAAAATATTGTATTTGTGCTAATTTTTAATTTTTTTATACATTTGTGCTAATTTTAATAAGACTTGTGCAAAAGCAAGAGTGTGCTTTCTGTAAAAAGGTTTTTCTGGTAACCTAGCATTAACTATTAACTATTACTAAAGGTTTTGTGTTTATATTGCTTTACTTTCTTTGCCTTATTGAATTGAGCTTGAAAAGATTTCATTTTCTGGTATGAAGAAGACAGGCACTTGTTAAGTTTCAAGAGCTAGTCTTTGGCTGAGAAATCTATGGCTGATCATTTGAGCATTGCAGGTTTCTAGGTACTGACTTTAAAAGTACTCAGACCCAGATTTCACACCTCAAATGTAGAACATAAAAGCATAAGCAGCTGACCCCCTGAATTCTTAAGAGCTTCACTTTTTGATTCCAAGGTAACAGGAAAGGCTAGGTCATCTACCAGCTCTCATTTCAGTCGGCAGAATTGTTTAATTACTAGTTGACTACCGTCAGCCCTGTAGCAGAATTGTTGGATTAATAGTTGGGCCCAAGTATGTTCAGATGTTTTAAGAAAACTCTAGCGCTACATCTAGTATACAACTAATTTAAAGAACCACTAGTAGATCTTAAGTGTCAGTAATTAAGACTGTAGGTTTTTCCCATTTGCAAGTTTCATTTGAAATATGTTTAACCAATGTGCAGGAGAGCAGAAAGGAACTTGGATATCAGTTGCCTAAATTGATTTAAGTGTAATTGTGGTATCAGGCAGAGTAACCTTTTCAGAAATTGAAAAAGTGAAATAATAACATTTTAATGTTTAAATGTAGAATCTTTTTGCCCTACCATTATATGTGAAGTCATTATAGGTCATTATTTATTAAGCTTTATTATAAAACAATTCCTTTCATGCCTTTTGTTTTATAAAGGCAGCAAAATATTCATACTTTTCTTGCCCTACTTTTTATAATTTGGAATTAAATAGACTTGGTGTTTAGAAAAACTAGGGGCCATCATATACTAATTTAGTGATTTTATTTTGGTTAAATGCTAGTTTCTAAAATTTTGTTTTTGTTTTCTTTATAGCAGAAAAATATGGCTCAGGAGACTAACCAGACCCCAGGGCCCATGCTGTGTAGTACAGGATGTGGCTTTTATGGGAATCCTAGGACAAATGGAATGTGTTCTGTTTGCTACAAAGAGCATCTTCAGAGGCAGCAGAATAGTGGCAGAATGAGCCCAATGGGTAAGTTGTTTCCAAGGAAAAACCCATTTGAAGAATTGGTGAACAGAAAACATAGAGCCAAGAATTGGGGCTTAAGACCAAGAATCAATGCTGAAAGCTCAAAGAGAAAAGACCTGAGAAAAGCTTGAAATTAAAACAACAGCCCAAGTACTTGGTATAACTACATCAGGAATGAGTGACGATCAACAAGCATCTTGACTAGCTTTTTCATTTTCCTCTTTGAGATTTTGTTTCATACTTATATTCACTGGATATGACTTTTTAATATATTTTTTGGATACTCAAGTGTAGGAATCTGCAGCACAATGAAAATGCTTAAATCACTAACTTAATTAAATGCAAGTATTTGTTACTTATTAATAGTCTTGATACTGAGTATAGTATTGCTTTGTTTCTTACAAATTCTTTTTTTAAATAGGGACAGCTAGTGGTTCCAACAGTCCTACCTCAGATTCTGCATCTGTGCAAAGAGCAGACACTAGTTTAAACAACTGTGAAGGTGCTGCTGGCAGCACATCTGAAAAATCAAGGTAAGATTGAGCATTTCAGAGTTTTTATGGTAATAGGAGGAAATGAAGATATCTGTGCTATCCATACAATTATAATTATGTATTCATATATAATAAGGATATTAATATATCAAATGCCCTTGGCTTTGCATCTGTTGCAGTCAGGGATTTCAAAATCCTTTAATGTATGATCTTGTAGGTCATTGAGTAAAGATGTATATTATAACGCACTCTGTACCACCACCAAGGATGCTGTGTTGAGAATGCTGTGCTTTTATTTCCTTGTAATTGAGGTTTAGAAGTTGTAGGAGTAAGGCTCTGCAGACTAGTGTAATGCCACACAAGGCATTTTGGCAAAACTGCCCCCTTTTGCCCTTAAACAGATTACAGGCACAGCTAAAAATTCTTAGTTGGCTAAAATAAAACATTGTGACTTATACAGATATGCAGCCTTGAAATGAGCTATTTATCAAACTGCTTGCTTTATTCTCAACCATTTTTGCTGAGCATCCAGTATTTTAAAATTTTAGATTATTTAGCTCCATTTGAATATGTTGGAAATAATATATAATTTGAAGTTGAACTGACAACTTACCTCACGAAGAAGTACCCTTAACATCTTTAAAAATGTTTGCTTGAACTCAAATAGAAATGTGCCTGTGGCTGCCTTGCCTGTAACTCAGCAAATGACAGAAATGAGCATTTCAAGAGAGGACAAAATAACTACCCCGAAAACAGAGGTGTCAGAGCCAGGTATGCTTTTTGTTTAATACTAGTTCAGTTCTGGACTCGGTAGTGTGAGATAGGGTTGGTGGGGGGATTTGTTCCTTCCCATTGAAGGACCAAAGAGGGAGAGAGCCAAAAAATACAGGCCAAGCAAGAACCACTCTCTTTAGAGAGTATAAAATAATCATTCTATTCTCTTCTTTCTTCTCTGCCCACCCCCCACCATCCCCCACACCAGTAACATTAAGAATTTAATGAACTTAAAATAATGTATTACTGTCATATTTTAAAAGTATCTAAATCATTAGAGAAGTCATTGTTCATAAACTTGGAAAAAATTATGTAGATTAAATTTCAAAGCTGGAAAATTTTAGGTCAAAAACAGTAGCTATTCAGTCTTGATACTGTCAATATTGTAGAAAATACTCAAGCAATAGAACATATTAAACAAAAACTTTCAAATTGAAGTGTAGGATCCCATATTTTGTGAGAGTTTAAAACTCAGTATGGAAAGGCATTTTTTGTTTTCTTTAGTGATTTTGAGTCAGTGCTTAACTTATTCAGCAACCATGAGTACTCTAAATGTACTAGCCAGAAGACTGACTTGTGTGAATTACCTGTGCTAGGCCTAGAACAAGAATCTATGTATATCATAGTTCACTTATTTCATTTTTTATCAATTCATTATTTCCTAGTAGTGTTGATTGAACACAATATAAAATTTATTGTATGGAAATAATGTCAGTGGATACATAATCTGTTTTGTAGCCTAGCTTTTTCTAACATCACAAGCTTATGTGAACTACATCAATCTTAATTTATAAAGTTAAGGTGAAAATTTATAAGTTGGGCAAGTGAATCCATATTTGATATTTTGAAATGAGTTCCATCCTGAAAAAGCAAACCAAATTTGTGTGTGTGTGTGTGGCTTTTAAGGCGGAGGGATGTGTTTTAAACAAATTAGTCTGGCCTTGAAACAGTACTCTTCTGGGTTAGATTTGTATTTATTCTCTCTTTGTAGGAATTCTGTAGTTCACGGTTTCTCTGCCTTTTTCTATCTTTTTTTTTTTAATCCCTTCGTATCTTTACAGAACCACTGTTTAGTTTTCAGGTGTGGCCAAGGAAATGGCTGTCACTCTTCCCCACCCCCAAACTATTGTCATACCATCAGGAAAAATTATATTGAGGTTGTCATAGTAGATTGTTAGGAATAAGTAATAGGTGGAATATTCTGTTAATCTATTAATCTCATTGAATAAATTACTAATGCAAATGTGTTATGAATTTGGGGAGAATTTTTAGAATAAGTTGTACCAATTGGCTTGTCTCTAGAGTTCGGACTTACTGCTACTAGCATTGGTGCTGGCCTATTTAGGCAGTATTTTTAGCATCGCATACATTAATTTGCTATTGTTGGGGTTTGGATTAATATTAAAACTCAGTTTACAGTGCTTCTAATGTAGTTGAATTTTATAAAGGTATAATTAGATTTGGTAAATGACTAGTGGTAGTAATATGGGCTTAACTCCAGTAATCTGCAGTTTTACTTTCATACTGACAAATTCTGTTGATTTCATGTAGACAAGTGGACTTTTAATGAAAATAAAAAATTTTTTTTAGTTTTGTCTATAAAATCCTTAAGTCTGAAGTCAAAACTGCACAAGTACTTATATTGTCCTAAAGACGATGTTTGTTAATCTTTCAAAAGAAACTTAAAAAAAAATCTTCCAGATCTTCTGAAGAAGACACTAAAACACTTATTATAATGGCAAAATAATGTGACATTTTAGGATCAGAAGATAGTGATTAATGATTTGGGCTTCACTTGTCAAAATTTGCTGGTTTTACCTACACAATCTTTCTTTTTCCTGTAAGTTTAAAACCAAATGGACATTTTTATAGTCAAGTACCTCAGAAGTTGCTAACTCTATTTACTTAGTAGTAATGAATTTCAGCAGCCCTAATTAAAACGTTTATATGTAGGCAATTGCAACATGGAAAAACAGCATGTGGCCAACATCTCTTAGATCTTTAAAAACTTTTAGAATTGGGGTTTTATTTCTTAGTAATAGCTGCTTAGAGTTTAGAAGGAATTTGAGTGGGGTGATAATTTTAGAAAATTCAGCAGAACAAGTAGTATGTTGATTGGCAAGAAATTCTTACATTTGAAAGTTCTGATATAAAAGTAAAAAGTCATAGGTGTGTTTATTTTTTTCAGCTTAGCTAATTGGTTCATTAGCAGTCAGTGAACTCTTGACAAATTTCTAATTTGTACCCTTGTTTTTCAGTTGTTACTCAGCCCAGTTCATCAGTTTCTCAACCTAGTACTTCTCAAAGTGAAGAAAAAGCTCCTGAGTTACCCAAACCAAAGAAGAATAGATGTTTCATGTGCAGAAAGAAAGTTGGCCTTACAGGTATTAAACAATATAATAGACTGTATATTTTACAGCTAGGGTTCAACAAGGAGCTCCTGGTCTCTTCATAAGGGGCTGATTGGTCTTAACACATAAAATAAAATCTTCCAGAGATAATAAAGCACTTGTTTTAATGGCAAAATAATTATTGTGAAATTTCAGGATCCCAACTTTCAGTAATAGAAAGCTTGTGGAATGGACTACAAAGGGGGATAGTGGAAGGAAGTTTAGTTTGATTTCCATTTGTCTCCCTAATCACATGAAATCCTTTAACTTGAGGCCTTATGAATTACTTTCCTTTATTGGATTGATAAAAATACATTCCTTTTGATTCTTTCCTTTGTTCTCCCGTGAAAAAGGAAGTGGAACTAAATGCCTACTTTGAGCCAGGCACAAAATATTCTAGATACTTTTTAGTTTTCTTTAATTGGTTGTCTTTCCCTTGTTTTCACATGAAACTACCTAGTTAACATACAGTAGAAGGAGGATTTAAATCCAGGTCATTCTGATTCCAGAGCTTGTGTAATTTCTACCCTGTGTGATATCTATGGGAGTTTGTGGAAGAATAGTTATTTGAATTTCTCACCATGTCAAAGGTGGTTTAAAAGCTGTTTCACAATTTGAAGTGACAGACTTTGTCTTGTTGCAAAGAGCCATGAAAGATGGTTCCTTTTCTATAGTGAGTAAGTCTTTTTTCTTTTCCTTTTAATTACTACAAGTTCCCAAGTGACTCTGCTTCCTCTTGTGTGTACAGGGTTTGACTGCCGATGTGGAAATTTGTTTTGTGGACTTCACCGTTACTCTGACAAGCACAACTGTCCATATGATTACAAAGCAGAAGCTGCAGCAAAAATCAGAAAAGAGAATCCAGTTGTTGTGGCTGAAAAAATCCAGAGAATATAAATTACTACTTGTGAAGAGACTGAAACTTTGTTTTTATTTTAATATATCGTAGGAAAACATTAAAGAGCAGATGCATGGCCATTTTCCTTTGATGTTCTCCAGAGTTTTACTTTATACTACTTGTCTGTCTTATAATTGATATTTTAGGATGTTTGGGTGTTTGTTACAGGCAGAATTGGATAGATACAGCCCTACAAAATGTATATGCCCTCCCTTGAATAAAATTGGATGGAAATCTGCATATCAAATTGAATTTCACAGATAACAGGGACAAAATTTAGCTCCCACGTGCCAAACAAAACATGAAATCTCTGCATGTTTGCAGCATATCTGCCTCTTGGGAATGTATCAAGGTATAATCTTTGGCTAGTGTTAATGTGCCTGTATTTTTCTAAAAAAAAATGGTACACCAGAAAAGGACTGGCAGTCTACTTCTACCATAGTTAAACTTCACTGTTAATTTTCACAACATGTTCTTTGGAAGCAGGAAGAAGGTGATAAAAGAGGATCAGAACTTTCCATGAAACCAGTATTTGATGCCATATGTAAGCATGGCTAATTGGCCTAAAAGCTGGCAAAGACATTCTGTGAAAGGTAAACATTTCAACGTGTGCATCTTTTGTTGAATGTTTTGGTTGAAGAAAGAATGTTTAGAGTTTTTAAAAAAGACTTCAGTTAATGTAACTGTACCCTTCTGCATGGAAAATCATAACCAACATGGCTGCAGTAGACTTCTTAGTGGTATCCAGCACCACTTGCAGAGGGCTGCTTTATCATATTAATTGTACTTGGGTATAGGACTAGTGTTCTTGGGTGTGTTGCATGGGCTGCATTATTTACAGCATTGTACAATAACAACTAGAAGAGGCAGTATACTTCATTGATGCTTGTCTGGTAATATCACTTCTGTGTTATAATGGAAGGTTTTCTGTGATATATGAAACTTGTGTTTTTTATATATAAATGAGTATAGTTAGATTAGTGTTGTGGTAATGCCTGTTTTCATCTGTAAATAGTTAAGTATGTACACGAGGCACTACTTCTGATTTATTGCTGTGTTCAGTCTTAGTTTTACTTTTGTTCTTAAAGCACTCAATTTTGCTTTCAAATCTTTGTACCTTAGTTCTGAGTTAGATTTGCAGATGTGTACAGATAGTTCATATTTATGTATTGCACATAATCATGCTACCCAGCATTGATGCTATATTGTATTATGTAAATAATAAAAGCCATGTACAGAGGGAAACTTCCACTTGTTCATTGGGTTTTTAAGCCATAGTTAGAAATCCTATAGGGGGGTGATTAGAAAATGTTTCAAATTCAACTCTTTAGTTGCATATGTAGACTTTGCATGGCTGTTGTTTTTTTTTCATTGCCTTCTCAACATGTTCAGGTGAGAACCATGAGATAAGTTTTGTAAAATATAAAGTATGGTACATAATAGGCAACAACTGTTTTTGAAGAAATGATTAGGCTATTTTAGGATCTTAAAAGTCTTAGCACTTAAGAAAAAGGAATGAAATTTGAACAATTATGGTCTGTTACCCCTCCCCCCCTTTTTTCTTTATTTTATAGATAACACTTTAGGCATGACAATTTGTACAAAAACAGGTGTAGTTTTGTTTTACTTGTTTTGGGTATGGTTCTAATGAAGAGATGGATCCATGAGTTTGCTCTTTGAAGGTGTCATAAGAGATAATAAGAACAGTTACGTATTCTCTCTTTGCCCAGCGGGTAACTGAAGCCAAGGACAACCATGGCTTTTCAGTAATGGAGTTTGAAATAGAAATTCTTGCCCTGGTTCACTGTTACTTGTCACAGTTCTGTGGGTGTTAATACTTCTGAAAATAGAAGGCTATGACAGATAAGGATAGTATCTCCTGAAATAGGAAGGATACTGAAGAATCACAGTTGAGTGACAATTAAGGTTTAAAAACATGACTTCCCCCTCTCACTGCTACCTCTTGTCAACATTTACTTAAGATTTTGATATCGATGTGGTATGTGGGGGATAAAGAACACATGGGAAGGTGATTGACTTTTGGACTTCATTGGTCTATAAAAGTCATTGAATAAATGTTTGCAAAATCATTTTTTATAAGAAACTGAGGACAGATTTGATCTTACAGGATTTAATTTGTCAGAAGCATCAATTGGGGGAAAGGAAACCCAAGTGTGTAAGGCAGCTAGGAAGATTCAATTCTATGTAAACTTGTATTCAAATCTGAATGTTCTTAAGCAAGCCTAAAATGGGGATTTAACTTTGGGATGTACACTGAGATACTAAGCATTTTAAGTGTTACCATATTTCTCAAAGATAGCTGCATAACCTTCAAAAACGTTACGCAAAAATGCTAGGACAAACCATGATGACATGATTAGTCTATGATCTTGGGCTATGCCTTTCGTCAAATCTATTCTGCAGTGGGCTTTAATCTGTAGAAATTAGCCCTTGGTTTTCAGATTTGAGGTGGGCTTCCCATAGTGAATCAGTTTGGAAAGAACTCAAGTAGTGTGTGGTTAAGGGGGTGATGAATCCTGGAACTAGTTTCTTCATCTGTAAATAAGGATGGTAACTGCCTGGCATAGAGTAAATATTCCCTGTTAAATTTGTGACGAGTTTTTTTAGAGCAGTTCTAGGTTCACAGTAAGTTTGATAGGAAAGTGAAGAGATTAACCATATACCTTCTCCCTTCCACACATGTATAGCTTCCCCCATTTAACATCTCCCACAGGAGTGGTACATTTGCTAAAACCGATGAACCTACATTGATTCATAATCACTCACAGTCCATAGTTTACAAGTTCACTGTTGATGTACATTCTGTGGACCAGTGTATAATGAGTGATATGTACCTATTGTGGTATCAGTATTTTCACTCCCCATAGAATCCACTGCTGCCTACACTCTACCCCAATCCCTGGCAATTATTTTTATTGTCCATATTCTGCCTTTTCCAAAATGTCATATGGTTGGAATCATATAGTATGTAACCTTTTCAGATTGGGTTTTTCCTTTTTTTAGTAAAATGCATAGGTTTCTTTCATGTTTTTATGGTTTGATGGCTTATTTCTCTTTAGTGCTGAATAATCTATTGTCTGGTTGTGCCATAGTTTATCCTACTGATGGACATCTTGGTTGCTTTCAGGTTTTGGCAATTATGAATAAAGTTGCTGTTAACATTGGTGTGTAAGTTTTGTGTGGAAGTAAGTTTTTAAATCCTTTGGGTAAACACCAAGTGATGTTAAGTGGTGTCATTTTAATTTGTGTTTCTCCAGTGACATAATATGGAGCATCTTTTCATACTCCTATTTACCACCTGTATATATTGCTTGGTGAGTTGTCAGGCAAGGTCTTTGGCCCTTTTTTTTAATTAAGTTTGTTTTTTTTTATTTCTATATTTTTGGGTAATATTTGTATCAGATGTGTGTTCTGCAAATATTTTCTCCAAGTCTGTGACATGTTCTCATTCACTTGAACCATTTTAATCTTAGAATGATATTTTCTAAAACTTGGAAAGAAAATTATCTGAGAATGAATGAGATTGGTTACATTGAGTCTTATAGTGAAAAGGTAAAGATCTGCAACTTTAAAATTTTGAAGTGATTAGAATCTTTTTTAAAATTCTTTATTGTTTAAAGTATTACTTATGACTCCTTTTTCCCTCATTGACCTCTCCTCGGCCACTCCCACCCCAGAATCTTTTTTTATAGATGGATGTACCATATTTTCTTTATTAATTCATCCGTTGGTGGACATTTGGTTTCCACTATTTAAATTTACATTGTTGAAAGTGTTACAGATGTCCCCATTTTTCCCCCCATTAACTCCCTCCCTACGCCTGCCCCACCCCAGGCCTTCACCACACTATTGTCTGTGTCCATGGCTTATGCATATAAGTTCTTTGGTTAATCTCTTCATGTCCCCCCTTACCTCAGAGTCGTCTGTTGCATGCTTCCATGTCTTGATCTATTTTGTTCATCAGTTTATTTTGTTCATTAGACTCCACATATAAGTGAGATCACATATTTGTCTTTCTCTGACTCTTATTTTGCTTAGCATAATTTCTAGGTCCCTCTATGTTGTCTCAAAGGATAATAGAGCCTTTTTTTAAAGCTGCATAGTATTTTATGGTGTAAATGTACCACAGCTTTTTTATTCACTCATCTATTGATGGGCACTGGGCTGTTTCCAGATCGTAGCTATTGTAAATTGTCACTGCTATGAACATAGGGATGCATACATTCTTTTCTTTTTTTAAATATGTGTTATTGATTTTTTTACAGAGAGGAAGGGAGAGAGATAGTCAGAAACGTCAGTGAGAGAGAAACATCAATCAGCTGCCTCCTGCACACCACCTACTGGGGATGTGCCCACAACCAAGGTACATGCCCTTGACCAGAATCGAACCTGGGACATTTCAGTCTGCAGGCTGACGCTCTATCCACTGAGCCAAACTGGTTAGGGCCATACATTCTTTCTGATTGGTGTTTCAGGCTTAGGATATATTCCTAGAAGTGGGAATATTGGGTTAAATGGCAGTTCTATTTTTAATTTATTGAGGAAACTCCACACTGTTTTCCATAGTGGTTGTTCGAATCATCCTTTTCATTAAGGTTTTCTTTGCACATGTCTGTTAAATGAAGTTCATAGCAAGTATTAAAAGTGAACAAATGTCTACTAAGTAATGTAATAGCAACATGTTAATCATACTGCTGTTGTAAATATTTGAGTTGGTAATACATTCTCAGAGTTCAAAAACAGATTTCTTGGTGTACATTGAGGAACAAAGCCTCTCTCCTGTCTCCTCTCCCAAGACATACATTTTAGGTAACTACCATAACTTGGAAAGGTGATTTTATCTCTTCCATGTCATGTAAATGTTTGACTTAATTTGACTCTTGTTTGTGTAATTGTTTGACTGCAATGATGTCATAGTGATTTTTGTTCATAAATATAATTTTGGAGAGAATGGCGGGAGTGGTTGCTGGCTGATTAGCAATAAGATTATATAACCTTAAATTATATAGAAGGGTTTCTGTGGGTGAGACAGCAGATAGTTAATGAAAAGTAACTTGAAGTTTGACAGCATTTTCTTGTATTTGTACAATCTGCTTTAAAAATATGTACATGTATAAAAATACAGAAATGCCATTTAATATTTATAATAGCTATTTCCGTGCACACTGGTTTTTAATTTATATAAAAAGCAATGAGCACTGTTTCTGTGTTTTCTTC